TGCCGCCAGGTGTTCCGAGGGGTGCAAGGCCTGCGCTTCCAGCCAGCAGGGCCTGGGGTCACCATCCGGCTGGGGGGCTTCGCCTCGGCGTCCCTGAAGAACGCCACAGCCCAGCATTTCGGCGAGGAAACCTTCTTTGGCATCTGGACCTGCCTTGGTGTCCCTATCAGGGGCTACTCCTTCTTCCCTGAGGAGGAGGAGGTGCTGATCCCCCCCTTTGAGACCTTCCAGGTGATCAACAGCAGCAGACCTGCCCAGGGCCCCACCCGCATCTACCTCCGGGCCCTGGGCAAGCACAGCGTGTACAACTGCGAGTACATCAAAGGTGAGCAGGGCCTGCGGGGGAGCACCTGTGCAGACGGGGAGCTTCCCACCCTGTTTTCAGGGAATGCAGGGAAACCGACCCACCGAGAGAGGGGCTCAGACTGTCCTGTACGCCCTTCCTTCCCACCTCCGTCCCTCCATCTAAGGCAGTGGTTCTCAACCTTCCTAATGCCACCACCTCTTAATACAGCTCCTCATGTTGTGGTGACCCCCAACGTCATTGTTACAAATTGAACATAATTAAAGCATAGTGATTAATCACAGAAACAATATGTAATTATATACGTGTTTTCCGATGGTCTTAGGTGACCCCTGTGAAAGGATCGTTCGACCCCCAAAGGGGTCGCGACCCACAGGTTGAGAACCGCTGATCTAAGGGGAGACAGAACCTTCCGAGGCTGGAGGCCTCTCGTCCCTGGTGGTGTCTGAGCCAGAGCTGGTCGGCTGCCTGCTGGAGGCTGAAGAGTGTTTTCTGATGGAGGCAGGGGCCTTTGGCCATTTGAGGGCCAAACGGACCTGGTCAGGCTTTCTCCCGGCTGGAAGCCAGAAGGGGATTAGTTTCTAGCTGCAGTACTGACACACAGGTCATTGCTGCCAGAATTGACAAGAGCCCCAACCTCAGTTTCCAAGAGGACCGTGTTTATTTGAACGGAAATCCTGTGCTGTCCTGTGTGCTGGGGCCGGGGGGTGGGGAGTTGGGGGGGGTGGGGGGGAGACAGCATGTGGGTGCTGTGCCCCTAAGGTCCAGTTCAGGCTGTGGGAGGTCTCAGATACTCTTCCTGTCCACCCCCTGGGACCAGCCAAAGGAGAAATCATGAGGATGGGCCCAGGTTCCTAATCTGTGGAAACTGTGGGCTACTGGTCCTGGCTGAGCAATGCCCAGGGGCTGGCAAGGCCGTTTCCATAGTTAGAGACTGTCTGCTGGAACTGGGGACCACATCTACCAGGGAAAATGTCCTGTGTGGCTTCAGTCCCCACCTTGGACATGAGGGCGTGAGGTGCCAGAGGTGAGGAAGACATGCACAGAACATAAACTAGCCTGTGCTTGCCTGGGATGGGCTCGGAGAGGCAGAGGTGGGTGTGGCAGGGAGACGAGGGAGCAGCAGGAGTATGTAGAACAGGCCTGGTTTTGAGGGCTGGCTCCCTTCTGGCCCCGCTGCCCACAAATCAAGTCAAACCTGGGCAAGGGAGGTGTCACCAGAAGGAAGCAGAATTTGAGGAGAAAGTACCAGCTTTCCTAGAGCAAGTCAGGGGTGGTCCATAGGGCCACTTTCCAGCCTTAGGACTATTACATCTTTGATTCTTTTCTGTTTCTTCTCTACAGACAAGCAGTGCAAGTCTAGGTCCTGCCGACTAGGAAACTCAGGTAGGGCTGCAGGCCTCTGGGACAGGGGCTCCATTGGGGGATGCACAGGCTGCCCTGGGTTGCTCCTTTATAAGAAAAACCACCCTCTTCTTCTTTTTTTAAAAAATATATTTTATTGATTTTTTACAGAGAGGAAGGGAGAGAGATAGAGAGTCAGAAACATCGATGAGAGAGAAACATCGATCAGCTGCCTAAAGCACATCTCCTACTGGGGATGTGCCCGCAACCCAGGTACATACCCTTGACCGGAATCGAACCTGGGTCCTTTCAGTCCGCAGGCCGATGCTCTATCCACTGAGCCAAACCGGTTTTGGCCACCCTCTTCTAATAAAGAATAAAGTAAACCCTCTAGAGCAGACGCCTGTGGGGATCGCTAACCTCCCCCAGGGGATGTAAGGGGCAGTGGCCGGGTGAGCTGACACCCCTGCCCCCTCTCTGGGCCTCCCTCCCTCACAAGAGACAGCTGATCAGGCCCTAGAGAGGTCCTTCTCGCAGAGGTGATGGAGGGCAGGGCCGATCTCACACAGTCCTCCCCGGGCCTTCCTCTCCCTCACCTGGGGAGCCCTCTGTCCCCGTGACTGCCCTCCGCGCTCCCTCAGACCACCTTCCAAGGTGGAGGCCGGTATTAGAGACCTGGGCGCTAGTCCAGGCCCTGCCCTAACTCTCTTGGTGACCAATTATTCCCGCTCTGGGCCTCAGTTTCCCTATCTGTATAAAGAAACCAATTGGATTAGAGGATTCCCAGGTCACTTTCAGCCATGGCTTCCCTTCCCTTCAACACCTGCTGTGCCAGGGCCCACCTGGGCCACCACTTCTCTAGGCGGGAACAGGCTTTTCCAAGGGAACCCGTTGGAACAGGCCATTCCCAGGGAAGAAACCACAGCTGCCCTCCTCGTGGGTCTCTCCTCCCTCCCTCTGGGCTCTGTGAACAGTGGACAAAAGGAGCCCCAGCCCCAGCCCCAGCCCCCACTGTGTCCTCACCATTCTCCACGACACAGCACCACTCAGAGTTCCAGGCGCACCAGGCCATGAATCCACACCTAGAGCCAGCTGTGGGTACTGTCATCACCCCTCTTCTACAAATGAGGGAACTGGGGCACCGAGAAGTGAAGCAGCCACATAGCGAGTAAGGGGTGAGGTTCAGACAGACTGACCCTAGAGCCAAACTCTGAGCCACCATTCCAGGCTGGCCCCTCCTCCCCGCTACCATTTCATTTGATCCTTTACGGCACAGCAATCTATTGGAAGGAGGCGGAACAGGGAGTATTACCCTCATTATAAAGTAAAGTAAGACCCAGAGAGGAAGTGACTTTCCCAAGGTGACAGAATGAGTCAGTGTCACAGCCAGGACCAGAAGCCAGGTCGCCAGCCTCCAACCTGCTTCTTTGAGGTGTTTTTTTAAAGTATATTTTTACTGATTTCAGAGAGGAAGGGAGGAGAGAGAGAGAGAAACATCAGTGATAAGAATCATTTATTGGCTGCCTCCTGCATGCCCCACGCTGGGGATCGAGCCCGCAACCTGGGCATATGCCCTGACCTGGAATCCAACTAAGACCTCCTGGCTCGTAAGTCAATGCTCAACTCTTAAGCAACGCTATCCAGGCGCTTCTTTGAGTTTTGATAATGAAATTTCATGCACTGGAAAAGTTTAAGATCTCCCTCACCTCTGGCCCACCAGCACCTCTCCTACCAGGGTTTGGGCAGAGAAGCTAAGATCAGCATTACTAGTCCCCATTCAGATCTCTCCCCATGTTTCATCCCACCCTGTGATGCCTCATGTGTGTCCATAGGAGGCAGGAGGATAGACCTAATCATCCTGGTATGTCCTCCTCTCTTCATCTCTGTTTGCCTTCTTCCTTAAATTCTTTTTTTAAATTAAATTCATTGGGGTGACATTGGTTAATAAGATTATTTAGGTTTCTAGTGTACATTTCTATGATACATGATCTGTGTATTGCACTGCCTGCCCATCAGCCAAAGTCAAATCACCTCTCATCACCATACATTTGACCCTTTTACCTTTTACTACCCCCACTCCCTTCCCTCTGGTAACCACTGTACTGTGGTCTGTGCACATGGGTTTTTGTTTGTTCATTTGTTACTTTCAGTTTTATATCTCACATATGAGTGAATTCATGGTTCTTTTTTAAAAATTTATCTTTATTGTTGAAAGTATTACAGATGTCACCCTTTTTCTCCCACTGACCCCTTCCACCCCACTCCCACCCTCCCATATTTTTTTAAAACTTATTT